TGTATTAAGATTAGAAGTCACGCGCTAAATCCTTATTATTTCTGAATAATAACCTGCTTTTTTGAACTGTATAAACGTAATTAATTGTAGAATTCAGAATATTAATAGTTGTAACATTATAAAAATATTTATAACAATAAATATGCCAAATATTATTCGTTATTTTACTTCTTACATGAAGCTGTTATATCAACTGTACAAAACTTAATTGAAAAATGCGTCCTTTTAATTAAATCTTCAAATCGGAAAATAAATCACGCGAAGACAGTTGAAGCAGAGGCTGACTGTTTCTCGCTAAAAATTGAAACTCTACTTAAACGGATTAAATTAAAAAAAAATCGCGGAGCTATAGAAAATCAAACGACAAGAACCACCGTAAATCTCGAAAGGAATGACATTTGCACATAAAATCAACGTTAGTTAAATCACCAATGATAAATCACATCCTACTGTGTCATCGGTGTTTCTCATCACTCGCTATCTGTTTTTCCCCCTTAAAAATTGAAACTCTTCTTAAACGAATTAAATAAAAAAAAAGAAAAAAGTCGCCTAGGTATAGAAAATCAAACGACAAAAACCACTGTGAATCTCGAAAGGAATGAATTTTTCACGCATAACACAATCAACGTTAGTTAAATCACCAATGATAAATCACATCCTACTGTGTCATCGGTGTTTCTCTTCGCTTACCGGGTACATATTCTTCATTTTCTTCTTTATCAAACATATGTTCGATAAAATGGACGTTTGTTATTGGTGGAGCAGTTTGAAAGAGTCAAATTTCCGAATAGTGTTCTCCGCCGCGTATTATCGCGACAGTTTTGAGTAATTATCGCTGGTGGGGCGACGGAGATTCCTCGTTCCTTCGCGACCGTGACCTTACTGACATTTCATTCTCAGATCGTCGACGGCTTCGAAACTCGCCCATACAGGATCTGCACGTGTGTGTCAGATAGCGTGCGCATTTCCATAACGCCGAAGGCCGTCAAATATTGCAACTAGACGAAGAATACCTTTGGCTTCCCCTCTCGAAGCTATGCTCGCCGCTTGTTTATCTCGCTTTCATCGAGCATTTCTTTCCCTCTCGGGCTGCTGCCGCTTTTAAATTTCACTCCGCCTGCACGCACGTTCGCAATTTGCATCGATTCCTCCGGTATCTTCGATCGTCGTCGCCGTCCCGGTCCATTTTCGCGGGGAACACGTGATTGCGCTTGAAATTCCAGTAGCGTGGGTGGCACGATCATTTCAGAGTCTTACGAAAGAGTGACTCCGAGGGGACCTAAAAGTTTCGTTTAAATTAAAGAGGGGGATATCGGAGAAGAAAGTGCTTTTAGTTCGCGGATTAACATGTTCAGCGGCATTTGTACCCAAATGAATGCAATACACTCTGGTCTAATGGGTTATCTGTGTGTTAGTTCGGATACTGTGTCCTTCGTTCAGATTCTGAAACGTACAATTTTTACATGTTACACGAGGGAAGGTCTTACGGTGGCCCAGTTTCTCCGGAAAACCTTAGTGGCCAGTGAATTTTTTTACCCACGTTGATACAAATGAAATAACAGATTTGACTTTTCTTTATTCAGATTTAGAACTTATAATTGTGGATGTAAATGTAAAACTATTTAATTGAAACACTGTGTACTTCAAAAAAATACAGAATGGCCAAAGGGGACATAATTTTCGTTTACGTGATGGCGCTTGATGGGTTAAAAGGGTGTTCTAGTAGTCATGAGGAAATTTCGGCAGTATTCAGGATTTTTTTTTCGGCGTGTACTATGAATAACAATGTGAAACTTTTTTCACTTATTAAGGCACTTATAAAGCATGCGAGACAATTTTTTTAAGTAGCATTTTAATTGTTTGTTTAACGATATATCAGGAGGTAAAAATAGTGTCTTTAAAAAGAGATGTCTCGC